TATGGCCTGCAACAAAGAAGACAACAATAAACAAGTCAGTATAATAAGCGGAAACTAGAAGACATGAGAGCAAAGAGAACACCCGCTACCTAAGATCCTTAGCGCTTCCCCGTCTGACACGCACTCGAGGAGGGCCCTAATGTTGATTAGCCGAGACTCGCGGAGGACCTCCCCCGCTCGTCACAAATAAAACTTCTGTCCTTGTTGAAACACTTGGCAGGAGTAAAGTTGGCAACGAACTCAATTATCTTCTCATAAGCGAGCCAGTCCTCGGGGTCCAGGTCGTCGGGCTTAGTGATATAGCTATCAGTGCCCTTCTTGAAGTGGCCCTCCTGCCACTCAAGAGGGAACTTCGCCTCCAAAGTCTCCATAGGAAGCCCGTTCTGAAGCTTGGTCACGCGGTCAAACAGGGAATCGACAACCACATCCGACACTGGCTTTACTACAAAGTATCTATTCTTGAAGGCATGGACATAATCCATGCACGCCTTGACAACTTCCTCGACTGCTTCAGAGATACCCAGTTATGTCGACCCTAGAAGGACTGGCACTGGAGATGTAAGGTGCAGAATAACAAAGGGAGCGTGGCACCAACGCAAAGATACTCGCACATAAGCTCGAACTCCCGCATGAATGCGATCGCGTTGGGGTGAAGTTACGAAGGAGTCAAAGTTAGCCACTGGGACACCCCTTTCTGGAAGTCACTAAAAGGCAGACGAAGCCCTGCTTCCCAAAATGCAAAGTCATACATAAGGATCCCCGTCCATTTAAACAACGAGCATATACGATGGCTCTCCTTGGGTTTATAGACCATCAAGTTCACGAGGCCCCATCGGCGAGGTCCTCAACGGTCGGGAAGGCGTTTGAATCATCAACAACAAAGCGCGAGGCGATGCTGAGAGGCTCCTGCCCGACCCAATCGGAAGGCAAGCGGGCCTGCATGACCTCGACCTCCTTGTTAACTACGTCGAGTTTGACTTCCTCGTCGATCGTGATGGTGCCTTTAGGCTTTGCGGTCATTTTACCTGAAAAGCAGAGGAAATTAATGAATTTGACATCTAAGATCAAATTAACCCTTCCACCACAAGTTAAGTGAAAGGGAGAAGAGAGAGAACGAGGAAACACTCGACAAACTTCCCTGACCGAAGGCACCACGCAAGAAAGTGCACACCCGAGAGAGGACTCTCCTTGACACAGAACACGAAACCTCCCTCCACGAGAGAAACGTTCCTCCGCGCTTAAGTTCCCCCAAGTCAAACGTGAAAGTCTCCTCGACTAGGGACTTCCTCAAGATACTCACACGTCTGCGGGGAGAAAAGCCCCCCAACGTCGAGCCTGTCGGGGACACTAAAAGCCTCAGTTGTCCCCGAGACCTTCGTCGTAGGTCCCCGAGGCCTTCATCGGAAACTTCATGTAGTTTCCCAGAATCCGTATAAACCCCCTGACATCTTCATCGGCAACTTCATAGTTCCGCCGGAAACTTCATGAGCTCGCCGAAAACTTCATGAAATCCACCGAAAACTTCATAAACTTCGCCAGAAACTTCATGGGTTCGCCGAGAACTTCATGGGATCCACGACGAGACCACCGAAAAACTCATAACCCACCAGAAAAAACAAACTATAGGAAAAGACAGAGGACTTACCTGCACAAGGAATCTGGAGTTGAACGGCGGAGCGAGAGGTTAGCTACGACGACGATGAGCGGACGAGAGAACAACAGAGAGAATCTTGAGAAATTATTTGAGTTACAAGGGAAGCGTGCAAATGAACTGACATTTCCCTCTATTTAAAAACCCTAGCACGGGAAGTGAGGCATTTCGTAGGCACTCAAGTACCCTACTCGTAGCCGTCATAGACATTGATTTCTTCTGACACGTGGCGCCCGGAGACATCACATGCGTCCCTTCGTGTCCCCTCGCACGGCTCGAGGAAATTACGTGTCAACCCTTTTTGCTTCCGTCATACCACCCAACATGTCGAAGACAATGCCCCGGCTCCTGCGCTGCCGTGAACACCTCCTCAAAAAGAGGATGAAAGCAAGCCATGTGTGCGTGGGATGAGCACCTGCCCTCAGGGTGAACGAATGACCAACCTCGTCGTCGGCCAGGGACATAGCTCACTGGCAAACACAATCAATGGCTTCTGCATCTGGTCCCGGACAGTGCCTCGAGCATGAGTGATGCACAATATATCCCCTCCTCGTCACAAGAATTGACTTAAGTCATTACTCTTACGCTTCAGAGCAACGACTTAGGAGGGTTCCTGTTCTGGATTGGGCCACAGGATGACCCACCGTCAGGCACGACTTAATCCAGATCCATGTCAAGGAGGGCCTAATGAAGGACCAATCCAACTCACACGGGGAACACTCACGCGTCTTCCCCCATTGTCTCCACGTAATCCCCACGCGGGGGCACGTCATCAGTAACTACCCGCGTCCGAAAGAACAGGTCACCCACCTTCCAGAGATCACGAGGCAGTTGAATCAGGATGAAGACCACGTGATGGTCTTCCCCTACGCCATGTAGACCCTGACAGTTATTCGTATTGGGCCTCGTGATCCAACCCAATGCAAAATAATCGTTGGCTCAGCGTTAAGGGCACATTATAAATACCCTCTTTCATTAGAGGGTCATATATTCTATTGACAACTAGCTTTTTTGTACTTGCTTCCTCTTACTTTGACATCGGAGTACCTTGCAGGTACACCCCTCCTCTTCTCCACTACCGACGAATTGAGAGCTCACGACGCGTGCTGACTGCTAATCCCGTTTTGGTCCGATAAGATCACAAATATATACTTAAATCTTACAAACTCCTTGTGATTGGCATTCAAGTACCTAAATTGTTTTTAGCAGTGTTTTGAAAACCGAACCGGCCGGTCGGACTGGGACACTAGCCGGCCTGGTTTAATTGGCGGATCGGCCTCGTCATTGAACCGGTGCGAACCGGGAAAACCGAAAAAACCGGCGGTTTAATTGTTTTTTTTTTTTAATTTTTTTAAATATACTTAGTAGTGTATTACTTAAATATCATTCTCATATAATTTTTTTCGTTAGTGACAAATTATAGACTTTATTGACTATTTGTTATTTTTGCTAATACATTTTTCTAAATAGTTTGTAACTTTGTGGTTAGTAACAAATTAGTTACCTTATTATTTTAACTTTTTAGATTGTTATATATTTTATCTTTTTATATTTTGTCACTGCTAATAATTTTAATTAATTATAATTTATAATTAATTATATTTAGTGTCAAAATATTAACAATAGAAAAATGCATGTATTTTGTTGAAAGGGAAAGTGAAATAGCATAAACATATTGAATTTTATTTGGTTTTCTTTTTAGGAGAATCATATTTTACTTACAAATAGTTATATCTTATTTCATAATAATCAATAAATGATATCATTGATGGAGAAGTTGTTGCAATTAGACTTTGTTTGCAATTAGATTTTGTAAGTTTGTATTATTTTGTTATGTGTGATACATTTGTTTAAAATTTAAATTTAAATTATGAACTTGTGAATTTATGATATGATATTTTTAAAAAATTTAAGTACTAGTTATATTTTTTTAGAAACTGAATCATTCAGTTCGACCGGTTTTATATCTATATAATGACAGGTCTATTCAACCGAGTTATCCGGTTTAATCCAGTTTAGTTATATGGTTCCACCAGTAACCCAGTAGTTCAACCGATAAACCAGTGATCCAATACCCTCACCGATTCGATGACCGGTTCCGTTTTTAAAACACTAGTTTCTAGCATTTGCTTAAACTAAAATCTTTAAAAAAATAGACATATATTTTTGACAAAGTACACCAAACTGTGAAGTGTGTGATGTAATGCAAGCCAGACAAGGTTTTTCTTATTATTATACTATATATCATTAATTTATAAGTTTTATCTCGTCATCTTTATAATTATATAGGACACTCTCACATATTTTTATAATATTTATTTTATTTTTGTAAAAATTTTATTAAAATGTGTGAACGAAAAATTTGGTTAGACAAATAAAATTTTCTATAGACATTAAAAAATCCAATAAGGTATTCAAATTGTCTTGGATGTATTTTTAGCGTTTTTCTAAAACAACGAATTTGGATTTTTTAATAAATTCGATAACTTTGATAATTTTTTAGATTTTTTAAATTTTGGTAGTTCAGGTTTGATAAACCAAGAAAAATTTAATAATATTGAATTTTTTTTAAAATCTGGAAAAAATCAATATTTTTTTTTTAAATTATGATTTTATGTCGCATATTTGAAAATATAATTTTATATCAGATTTTTCAAAATCATAGTTTTTTTTAAAAAAATTATATGATTTCACACCTATATTTTATTTTCTAAAATTCTATAAAATTTATTTAATCTCTCAAAAAATTTCTAAAAATTCAATAACACGAAAATTTTCTAAAACTCATATAATTCACAAAAAAATATTAAAATAAAAACTCACTATTGTAAGAGTTTAAGTATAAGTAGGATCGGCTCGATAAAACCTCTTAATTCATTTATTTCCTTTAAACTTTCTAATAGACAAACTAATCAAATACTACTATTGCATGACCGGGTGTTTCTCCACCTACCTTTCAAATTAAATTCCACCTCATTCATTTTATTTACTAAATTAAAGGATAATGCTAGCCTGTAACTCATGGACACATTAATAGTTTATTTGTAAAAATATTCTTTTGAAGACTACAAAATATAAATGTATTCCTTTCAAGACTACAAAATAGTTATTAAAAAGAAATTTGATTCTAAAATTAAATATTCTTTATTTAGTCTATTTGAATTAATTTAGATATGGTATGATGTGAAGAAAATATTACAGCATGAACAAATTGCATGTCCTTCAAAAAACAATAAAACATAAATTGCAAGATACTGCGTCTATAATATATAAATATCTAATTTACATTATGGAAAAAAGCTAGACTTAAAGTAATTTAATTTACCCCATAAAATGTTAACTGCACACCCTATGTGACACGGATTAGAAGAATAACCATGACAAATACCAACATCATCACAAACATCACAAACCATGTTAAGCAAGAAGTCTTGGAACTCTCTGAGTATATTGCATTTGCTCTCACATTGACACGACCTGTGCTTGCCAAGCTATGTTCAATGGCTTCCTCAGTAGAATCAAGTATCTGTAACCAACCCATCATTCATTAACCTCACAAGAGATATTTCATATAAGATAATATTTGTTAAAAATAACTATAATAAAACTTCATATTGAAACATTGCCTTGAATGAGATACATTTTGTAAAATCAACTCATACATTATACGACCAATTATCAGTTAGAGATGAAAGAGAATGAAAATGAGAATCAGACCTTTTTGGTATTTTTTACATATTGGCTCATCATGAGACTACTCTCTTTGAGTTGTTTTGCCAACACCACCATCTCATCTATCAAATCGTCTTGAAGCTTTTTGAGTAAAAGTTTCAACAAAAATGTACAAGAATTGAGAGAATAATGAAAAAAATAATTAACTATCTAATACATTTTTGCATATAATTTAATAGCAACGGTGGGAGTACATGTGTAAAATAATAGTGATTCAGAGACATCCTGAGAAGTCAATGATGACTAAACTTCTAAATATAGCACCCTAGTAGTTTAACATATTCAGCTTATGATTGACTATTTGACTTACCTTTTGGAAGAGGCAAAGACAATTTTAGAGTTGTAAATTGACTTTGCAATGATTTTGAGGTGTTTGGTTCTACCTAAGTATAATTCATTTTACCTTAAGAATTGATTCTATTTGAAACTAGAATTTGTAACTTTTAAGTTTAAACGAGATTTTTGCATTGAAATTTACTGTTAAACTCAATTTTGCATAAAAATATTTAAATATAAATCACTTTACATTCAACTCATTTTTAACCGAAATCAATTTTACAAGATCAATTCACTTAGAATTAATATTTTATACCACAGAACCAAACATAACTCAATTACATTGACCTCAAAATATCAGTCCTAGTTTTGAAAACACATACTTCTGTTGTTTTAAAAATATTGCATAGGAACCTAAGATTTACAGGTTACGTGTACTACTGACTCACCATTAAACAAACTTCAAATGTACCTGTGCTTTTCAATATGTGCATGTCCTGCAGCATCCAATTTAACAGATGATAAGTGATCAGTATCAGCAGGCTCATGTGCTCTATCTTCATTACTTGAGGCAGCTCTGTCCAATGAATCAGATGAGTAATGATAAAATAGCCTACAAAATACAAGCAGTGGTGAAAAAGATTAACATTAACTTCTTTTCCCAAAGAGAAATGAATTCTCTGTTTTTCCACAACGCAAACGCAACAACACTACACTCTCTCAACTTAACTTCGTCACTTCTTTTCCCAAATAATCACAATCTCTCCTCAAAACCTCGTTTCCAATCCTCCATAAAAACCAACACACCAAACCCCAAACACATCCCTAACAAAAAGGTTATAATCCTCTGGGACCTCGACAACAAACCTCCACGTGGACCTCCACACGACGCCGCACTCTCTCTCAAAACCCTCGCCGAACGCTTCGGCGACGTCGTTTCTATCTCCGCTCACACAAAACGGCACTCCTTCTTCAACCTACCTAAATGGAATCCCAACCAAAACCCTAACCCTAATTCGATTCTCTGCCGCGTCTGCGGTCACGAATGTAAATCAATTTCCGATCTCGAAATTCATTTCAGGAGAGTTCACTTGAACCGGCGTGGGAAGTTGCGGGAAAAATTGAGATCGGTTAAGTTGAGCCGGTCGCGGGTCGGGGTCGTTCGGAGAATTCATCCGTATAATGAAGCTGCGGGGAATGTCGTTGCGCCTAGGGTTGGATTTGGTATGGCTTCGGAGTTGCGGCGGGCTGGGGTTTTTGTTAAAGTTGTGAAGGTTGGCGAGAAGGTGAATGCGGCGGATTTGTGGTTGGAGAGGGAGATGATGAATGGGGAGATTGGTTGGTTGGTTTTGGTTTCGGATGATCGGGAATTTGCGGAGATGTTGAGGAAGGTTAGGGAGGTGAATTTGAAGACGGTTGTTGTTGGGGATTATTGGGATAGAGATTTGGGGAAGAATGCTGATTTGTGGCTTCCTTGGATTGTTGTTGAGAATGGAAAGGTTGATGGAATGGGTTTAAACTTTAATGGGAAGAAGAAAACAATAACAGAGGGTTTGGATGATGAATTGGAAGAAGATGAGAATTTGGGCTATGAGTATGTAACAGAGGAAGAACAATTAGATGATGAAAGGTTTTAAATAACTGTCGCATTGTGTTCTTTTTAAGGCTCTCGCGTTTTTGGTCGGTACAAATTTTGCATTTGCATTGTGAACAGGGGCTATAGAGGTGCTACAATGATATTGCATTGCAGAATAGTAGAGCAAAGAAGCATAGCAGAATTTAAATTAATTAGTGTTTTCTCTGAGCCGCACTGCAATTGGAAATAATGTTTCGAATGAAGCTAGACGACTGGGTTGAGGGTTAAGAATGGATAGTGAAATTGAGTTGAGTGAAGTTGAATTGAGGATAGTGAAATTGAGTTGAGTGAAAAGGACAAGTTGTAAGTTTATAGATGCACTATTTTCTTTGATTTGAATGGCTTACATAAGTTTGTAGATTTGTGTGTTAATAGCTCTTTTTACAGATCTTATACTTGTTTGTTGCTATAGGTAAAGATTTGTGTCTTGATGGTTCATATATTGGTTACATTTGTTGAAGCTTGTGAGAAACAAAGTTAGATCTTGTTTGAATATAACAATCACAAGTTTGTTGAATTGAAGATGGACAATGAGAATAGATTTAAGGTGAAGAAGTCAAGACAGAAGTTTGTCTCAGTCTCCGAATTCCATTGAATGCCAAAACATGGTTGGTGTTGATTCTAAAAAGAGAAAGACATCAATGGTAGATGACTCTTTTATCACGCAAGTTAGAGAGGCAGTCTATATAAAAAGATTTATGCCGGAAACTTTTATTTGATTGGGCTACTCTTTCAAAGCAAGAAAGCAAGAAATTTTCACTTTTGTCTTTCTTCTACCCAGCTAACAATATTATTCTTGGTTACAAACCTCCTTATAATAAATTAAGGAGAACATTGCTTTTAAATAAGAGGAAACATGTGGAGAATTTGTCGCAGGCAATTCAAAATTCATAGAAAGTTAAGATAAATTGACTCACTATATGTGGTTCTATGTTTTAAAGATTCCCAATAGTTAAAATTAGGAGAGTTGCAATCGACTCATATATTTATATCACATAAAAACTGTCTCTCTTGGTGTTGCAATGTCACAGGGAGACTTCCATTTTCTTTTGGTCTCAGCAACTTAGGATTGATAGAAAATGGCAATTCCACTTCTCTTGGGCGTAGCAGCAACTCTGGAGGAAATAGCAGACTATTTAGTAGTAGTAATAATCACTCAACAGGAAATAATACAAGTACATCCTTTTGGGGCTCTGAGAATAGCCAGATCTGTCGAGTAAGAGAAGATGAGGAGTTTCCTTATGGGCATATCTTGGATACTGCAAACTTGAAAGTTTTTACTTTGGCAGAACTGAAAGCAGCCACTAGAAATTTTCTCCAGATACTTTATTAGGAGAGGGTGGGTTTGGTAGAGTATACAAGGGTTTGTTTAAGGAGAGAGCAACGTCAAAAAGAGACGAGGATTCGACTATTGCCATAAAAAAACTGAATTCTCACAGCACGCAAGGATTTGTAGAATGGAAGGTATTTAGATTACTGCATCATGAATAGAACTTTCAAAATTAGATCATCACATTCACAAATTTGTTAATATGTAGTGCCATCTATTTATATTTATAATTTTTTTGAGGGAACAGTCAGAGGTGAATTTCTTAGGAAGGCTTTCTCATCCCAACCTTGTAAAGCTGTTGGGATTTGGGCGTGAGGATGGTGAGTTATTTCTGGTGTACGAATTTTTGCACCGTGGAAGCTTGGACAACCACCTATTTGGAAGTAAGAGCAGATAGGATACTTAACTAGGACATCCACAAAACTACCATTTTACTCTCTTTCTGTGTTGTGTGAATTTCCCCTAATGTTATTTTACTTTGCAGGAGGTTCAAATGTTCGTCCACTTTCATGGGACAGAAGGCTGAAAATTATGATTGGAGCAGCTAGGGGACTAAATTTCCTTCACTCCTTGGAGAAGAAAATTATATACAGAGATCTCAAACCCTCAAATATACTACTTGACAAGGTAAGTTTCATTTCATCTTTTGGTGGATTGACTATCCCATGATCACATTTTGCTCATATTGAAGGTATCCATGCTATTAAAGAATTCGTAGTAACGTAACGAAAAAAGATATACCTATTATTTTGGTTTGCAATAGGGATACACAGCCAAGTTGTCAGACTTTGGCTTGGCTAGATCTGTTCCTTCTGATGATCGCACTCATGTATCAACACAGATTGTGGGGACATGTGGCTATGCCGCCCCTAAGTACATTGCCACAGGTATCGTCACCACAAATACCCTCTTAATCTCTTCTTAAACATGTTCTGAAAGCATGGTGACTGAGACGCCAAATTAATCTTCTGATGCCAATCAAACAGGTCATTTGTATGTGAAAAGTGATGTATATGGATTTGGGATTGTTTTGTTGGAGATACTAACCGGTAAGCGGATAGGCGAGATAACACGCCTTAGTGAGCCAAAGTCCCTACACGATTGGCTCAAATCAAACCTGTTAATTAGAGCAAAATCGAGAAGCAACATGGATGCAAAGTTGGAAGGAAGGTATCCACCGAACTTAGCTTCGCAAGTAGCTCAACTTGCTCTCAAATGCATCCAAAAAGAGCCCAAAGTTAGGCCATCAATGAAGGAAGTCCTTGAAACATTGGAAAGAATTGAAGCAGCCAATGAGAAACCAGCTGATAATATAAAGAGGACTACAAATTCCAGGGCAGCTCAGCTACATGGCCAACCAGATGGTGGTTAATGGTACCCATTAACACCATCATATCATTCGAAAACAATATATAAATGATTGCACGCATATGAGCTTATAGTTAAAGGTGCATTCCAACATTTTTGGATTTTGTGTGAAGCCTGAGGGTTTCTGCACTCCAAAACGACATATAAGCACGGCCGAGCCTTAGTTTTTTTAATCGTTAAATTATTGGTCATGTTAGTTTTCCGAGTTTGAGCTCAGAACTCTGCCTATTTTGAACACCTTTAGCGTCCTTCAATTCGACTCATTGCCCGAGTCGCATGCTTGGAATCGACACTGGGCTTTGATAAACCAAAATGTGAAGTTCCCTTGTTCAAGTTCAATTAATTTTTCATCATGGTTCTGGAGCTTGTAAAATATGAAATCATCAATTCATGATTGATTAGTTGTTTAGTTTAAATAACAAACGAAATACTGTAGAGAATTATTTCAGTTTCATTCTAATATGGTTCGATTCAAACATGAATATGGAAGAGGTAATTAGGTTTAGTAGAGATGAAATAATCAACTTGTAGTCAGATCAGAACAATTAAAAAACAACTACTACTTTATAGAAGAATTTCAGACTACAATTTCGATGTAGAAGACCTTGAGAGTCCCGGTGCGGTGGTGCAACTGCGCAACCACGATCTGCGGTGGCGTTGTTGCCGTTAAACTGTGATAGTTGATGCGACTAATCGAACGTCGTTCACAACATTCTTGCTCTGGTATTTCAGCGAGTGACACTACGATTTTAGTGCAGTGTTTTTACCTTTGACTTCTTTAATGTGAAACCTCCGCATCTCAGATTACGCCCGGAGGCGAGTGACACTACGATTTTAGTGCAGTGTTTTTACCTTTGACTTCTTTCATGTGAAACCTCCGCATCTCAAATTACGCCGGAGAAACATTATGTTATATATATATATATATATATATATATATATATATATATATATATATATATATATATATATATATATATATATATATATATATATATATATATATATATATATATATATATATATATATATATATATATATATATATATATATATATATATATATATATATATATATATATATATATATATATATATATATATATATATATATATATATATATATATATATATATATATATATATATATATATATATATATATATATATATATATATATATATTATAGATTATAGGTATTTATGTGATGTTTAATTTATTGACAATTTTTGTATTGAAGATTTACTGTTTTTTTTTCTTTTAAATACTCCGTCTGATTTTTTTTTTTGGACAACACTCCGTCTGATTTTATTTACAGTGAAAATAAAATAATAGTAATAATATAGTATGATAGAATAAAAGTGTCATTTACGTGATATTTTTAAATATTGATTGGAAGTCAATTATTAATAAAAATTTTGACTTAACATAAATAACTTATCATTTTTTGCTGTCATATAGTGCACTTGATGATTTTGCAAAAGAAAACGTTGCGTGAACAAGAAAAGAAAGTGGTGCTCTTTCATCATGTGGGTTTGTTCGTAGTAAGGATGCGACAACTTTACATAAGGGATATTTTTGTTAGCAGTCATAGTGTTGAGATTATAACTGATCGTAAAGCAAGAATTTCTCTTTTATTGAAAATATGAAAAGTTTGTTAGCCATTAATTTGTATAATACTTTAATCACCATTTACAACTAGGGATGTAAATGGATATCCATGGGGCGGATAGTATGATATCCGTGTCTGCCTCGTTGGATAAATATGATATTCGTATCTGCCCCATATCCATGCGGATATCAGTTAAGCGGGTAATCTACGGATTTTAAGGTATCCGCGAATATTTACAGATATCTATGAATAATTTTTTTTATCTAAAATTATTTTTTAAAAATATATTTTTTTCGCTCTCAATTTAACAACTAAACTTCGTCATATTATTTTCATTCTTTTTTCACTAAAACATAATAACATTCAAACATAATATCCATACATTTCATTTTTAACAAAACAAAATTCATCATACCATATAATAATTGTTTAAATAAAACAAAAAGTAATAATGTAAATAGTTTTCATCAATCATTACAAAATTCCATATTATGCATTCCTTACTTAACATTCATACTTTGGTTTCCTAACTCCTAAATTAAAAGCTTAAAAGATTCCAAATAAAATATCCAAAATAACAGTGATATTTGTAACAAAATCTTATAAGATACACTAACAATTTCATTCACTAATAATGTTAGCATCCATATCTTCCAATACTGAATTAATTTCAATAACCTCAACTTTTGAT